TACAAACATTTATTATTGTACTTCATCCTTTTCAGGTCCCTCAAGAAAAACCCACGGTGTGGGCAGCCGGGAAGTGACAACCGCCCTCATACCCGTAACAGCACACGAGACCGAATTGGTCGAAATCAAATCCTTCCTACACCCCCTAATATCTCTCTTATCTCCACGACTATCTATTCTCACATTCATTTATCACAGTGCACAGCTAATGAAAACGATGCGAGTTCGCGAAACGTCGTTCCTGGTCTCCTGAAACTCCGTTCAAAACTACATGTTGGAGCATTTAATGTACGGATACTGTGTCAAGTAGGACAATAGGCATCATTAGCTAGGACTTTAGAATCTCGCTCAATCGATGTATGCTGCGTCTCGGAAACGCGCATACAGGATCCGAGTAGCGTCATTCACTTGACCTCACCATGTCAAGATAAAGAAGCAGCTCGATTTACCCTTCGTGTATCCGGTAGTCCTGATGCTGCTTCCTGCGATCTCGCTAGTGTAGGTATAGCATTGAGTCGTAGAGCAGAACTATCTCTCCTTGACTGGATCCCAGTAGATAGTCGCTTGTGCGCCGTTCGACTAAACGGGACAGTAAGGATTCGGAAGGATAGGGACACTCGTCGTTGCCTCTTCGTCATATCAGCCTACGCCCCCACTGACTGCAGTTCAGACGAGGTGAAAGATGAGTTTTACAGAAAGCTTTCGGACCTCCTCCAAAAAGCTAGGCGCTCTGATGTAGTAATAATGGCTGGTGACTTCAATGCTCAAGTAGGTAGACTAAGTGAAAATGAAAGACACCTGGGTGGATGTTATGGTGTCGTGGCTCAAAGAACAGACAATCGCGACCGTCTGTTGCAACTGTACTCAGATAAACAACTATTTCTAGCAAACACTAATTTTAAGCATAAGGAAAATCATCTTTTGACCTGGCGGCCCCCGAAGTCGTCTCAACGTTGGACGCAACTAGATCATATCGCCATCAGCCACCGATAGAGGGATTCGATAGAGGACTGCCGCTCGTTCTGGGGCACATGTTTAGATTCAGATCATGCCCTAGGGCGAGCTCGTATCTGTTTGAGGCTTACTGGACGTTGGAAAGACACCGTAAGGAAGCCTCTTAGAGCTTTACTTGATGATAATCAAACTAAGAAAATATTTCAGGAGGAACTAGAAAAACAGCGAGGGCAATCATCTATGCGATTCTCATCCAGAAGCAGGTTGGTGTGATATAAAAAAGGCTGTGGAAACAGCAGTGATATCTTCTAGCAGGGTAAACCATGAGGATAGAATGAAGCGGTGGATTTCAGTCGCATCCACCGAACTGATGGATTCTCGAAAACGCATCCCACCTGACTCTGAACATGATGAAGAGCGTAGTCAGCTTAGGCGCAGACTTACAAAAAGTCTACGTAACGACCGTGAACACTGGTAGGTGGCGAAAGCAAAAACGATGGAAAAGGCAGCGGCGATAGGCAAAACTAGACAACTTTTCCGCCTTATCAAAGAGACCGGTATTAGGAGTTCGACTATGGGTGAGATTCTGTCGGAAAAGGATGGCTGTATCAGTCATTCTCAATCCAGGAGACTGGACAGATGGGCAGAACACTTTAGGGATCAGTTCAACTGGCCTCGAGCCACACTTCGGTTGCCCACGATCCCCAGTCATCCTGAATGGCCGATCGATTTAAGTCCTCCCAGTCTACATGAAGTTGAGAAAGCTATAGGAAATCTAAAGTGAAGTAGAGCAGCAGGTCCTGATAGGCTTACCCCTGTGATGTTTAAGGATGGTGGTCCAGTTTTAACAGTTAGACTGACCGAGATCCTAGGTAGGATCTGGGAACTGGACGTAATCCCATCTGACTGGTCTCAGTCGCTAATTGTCCCAATCTGCAAGAAAGGACAAAAGTCCTCTTGTGACAATCACAGGGGAATCAGTCTAACTAATATAGTTTCTAAATAGTTAGCCTCGATTATACTTAGACGTCTAACTAGAGCTCGTGAAGAGCAGACTCGAGAAAACCAATCTGGTTTTCGACCTGGGCGTGGTTGTATAGACCACATCTTCACACTACGACAGGTCCTGGAACACAGACACACATTTAGGCGTCCTACAATAGTTGTTTTCCTAGACCTTAAGGCGGCATTTTACTCTGTTGATCGTAAGGTTCTGTGGCAGTGTCTGTCATTGAAAGGTGTACCAAAGAAGTACATTAACCTTATACATGCTCTCTACTCGAACACCACTGGTCGGGTGAGAGCATATGGCGAACTGTCACCGGAATTCTCTACATCAAGTGGTGTCCGTCAGGGATGTCCACTATCTCCATTCTTGTTTAGTTTTATAATAGACATGCTCCTAGACATAACCTTATCCTCGTCTGAATTTTCAGGAGTAGACCTTTTACCAGGTGGCTCGCTTATTGACTTAGAATATGCCGATGACATTGTCCTACTTGGTGAAGATGCTGACAAAATTCAGAGTCTTCTGACTACCATAAGCAACAATGCAAGCATGTTCGGGATGCGGTTTTCCCCCTCGAAATGCAAAATGTTGCTTCAAGACTGGGTTGCATCGGCACCTGAACTAGTGATAGGGAGTGAAGTAGTCGAACGTGTAGACCGCTTCACTTATCTTGGGAGTCTCATCAGTGCTGATGGCCTGGTGACTGACGAAATCTCAGCTCGGATACAGAAGGCTCGATTGGCTTTTGCCAACCTGCGTCACTTATGGCGTAGGCGAGATATCCGTTTGCTGACTAAAGGACGAGTGTACTGTGCAGCAGTTCGCTCCGTTCTCCTATATGGCTGTGAAACATGGCCAGTGAGAGTAGAAGATATTCGTAGGTTACTGGTTTTCGATCATAGGTATCTTCGAAGCATTGCTCGTATACCGTGGGACCACCGAGTGAGCAATGCTGTCGTTAGGAAACGAGTACTAGATAAGAATGGCAGATCAATAGATGAAGTGGCGAAACTTCATCAGTTGAGGTGGTTGGGACATGTCTTGCGTATGCCGAACCACCGACTGCCTCGACGAGCTATGTTTTGTGGTGTAGGATTAGGTTGGAAGAAATTTATGGTCAGATCAAAACATGGCAGAAATCCATGAAATCATTGAAGAGTGGACTTAGCCATGTCGGCAATTGTCGACTACGTGGTTGGGGTCCGCGAGATGATAATAATCGATGGTTAGAGACCTTGAATGACATGGCTCAAAATCGTTCGCAATGGCACCGGTGCATTTATTCTCTGTGTTCTCTCAAATCCTAATCTTCTGGATTCTTCAACCTCTCTAGTTACGACTTTCTAAACCTTTCTCACCGAATCATATTACTTGAATATCTTTTAATCCTAACCTTTCCGATTACTTCTAATACCTTTACTACCTCTTCTACTATTGGATTTGAATCGACGATTACTTCTCTGTGCTGATGTGGTATGGCAACATGAACTGATGTACTTATGTACAAAGTTCTACGTTGCAACCAACTGACTGACTGACTGACTAATCCTGTACTAAAGACATTCTCTCGCGCGCCGAGCGTGTCATTGCTTTCGTCCTTCTCTCTTCGCTCGTTGTTAGCCGCTCGTGTACCCTAGTCTCGTGATTATTTCAATATCACGCGGCTAGCATTAAATATATTTCTTCCTCTAGAATCGTCTTTTATCTGATTACTAGAGTGATGGTGTTTTTAGTAGGTACTACAACAGTGTAATGATGTATATTTATATTTATGATGAATATTAGAAGCCTTATTCACCCAATCGCTTGTTTTGATTTCAACTGGTCAAGACGCGTATCTAAACTACGTGGTCAGTTATTCCTCAGCCTTAACATCAGTTTGGATTCTACATCGGCCTTCGCCTCGAACGAGTCCGAAAGTGTAGGCTATTTTTCCTCATTTTATAAACCCTAGTATCAGTGAGGACAATAGTCTATCACTAGCCAGGTAGCCGAGATCTGATTTTCACAATGCCCCATCCCCGTTGGAAAGGGTTTACACTTTCGATACGTAGAGAATTTGTTCGTGGGACAGATCGGCAAACGTGCCACTGTATGACGGAAGGGATGAGGAACGAAAAGCGATCCACGATGTGCGAGTTGTCACTGAATGCCGCTGACTGTGAATGGTGCGAGGAGTAACGTGCCATGTTTGCTGCTCGAATCGGCGTACCACAACGGATTGGTTTGTATCCAGGATCTGAAGATTTCTTTCGTAGCGGGTCCGGACCAGAAAACGCTGCAGACGTAGGATGGAACAACATTGAACTTGGAAACTAGACGCGACCAAAATAACCAAGTTTGGGACCGTACGTATGTATTCGGAACCAGAACATCAAGTGAGTTCATTGACAAGAGTGTGGGTGGCCAGCTTTCGCCAAAATTGACTGAAGCTGACGGTACCAGCAGGACGACTGTCGTAGGCGTGAGCTCAGAATAAGAAAGTCAAAGAAAAAGAAAAAGGTGTGGCAGCTATGTAGTCTGGGTAGAATCCAATACCCTATTCACTGCTAATCGGGTTTGTCGCGAAAGCGTATAGGTAGGTAGACGTATCAGGCCACCGGAACGTGAGGCCGTAGTCTCGTGATCGAGAGCCTGAGGCTGCAATCTCATCCGAAGTCTAGGTCAGCGTTGTCTACTGATCTGGACGTGAGACCGGATTCTCTTCCGTAGATAGGGCAGATAACGCGAGCTGTGGAAGTTACTACATATAAATTTGATCCGGTGTTGACGATTCAGTAGGCTAAACTCAACCAGTAAAACGATGGAGAAACGATCATTGGAGCTGTTACAAATAACTACATTTCTACATGACACGTGGATATGTTGCATGTCAAACTGTGAAAACGATTACTAGTGCTTTTTGTACGTTACTTTCTCACCCGAATTATTACGGAACTGCAAATAATCACAACTGTTTCAAGTCACGGCACATAATCACTTGAAATTACTAAATTGATTACTTAGGTAATAATAGTTGTTTTATTACATTTATTTTGAAGCGGTTGACTCGGATATACCGGTTTGATCTATTTCATACTAATGTTTTATGGGAGGTAGTAATAGTTATATCAAAGAGATAGATATGGCTAACAAATTATTGCCCGCTGCTGTAGTAGCTTCTCGTTCGAAACACACTGCTACGGTGAGTCATTTTGCTACATGTTTTCAATTTATAATTACGGTGATCAAGTGTTATTTTTGTAAATGTAAACGAAACTCAAATGTAGTAAAGTCCTCCTAGTTAATCGAACACACTAGTAGTGCATTTAATTTCCGGAGACTGCATTTAAGGAGTTATAAATCTATCTTGCAAGGACTTGAGCCAAACATGTAAACTCGATGTTTGTTTTAGGTGGCGTTCCGAAAATTATCGTCCACATAACTGCTTGCCTTTCCTCACAGTGCACACCTTGGTCAAAAAATACAGTAAATGACCTTTCATCACCGTTTGCTAGACATCTGGACGTCTTCCACTTAATTTAACTGGCTTACTGAGTGGGTTCTAACATTCACCCCTAAGTCTCTTTAGCCTGAAAGCAGTGCAGATTTCCTGGTGGGAAAGTCATCTCACCAAAACATAACGCCATCTGTTAAATTATGTTAGCGTATACCATTTTAAAACAGCTTGACATATTTGAGATGAAGTACTGCATTACGACTGGAATTTTTCAGTAGCAATTCCAACGTGTTCATAATATTTTTTTGGGGTAACAAGAACTTCATGATTTCACATGACTATAGGGGTTTTGTTTCACATACACTGGAAGGTTATACACATTTCCGTAGCTGATTTCAGTAAGGTTTAGTGTTTTATCATGAACTAGATTTTTTGAACAATAAAAACTAACCAAATAACTGTACTACTTAAGTATTTAATAATGCAATAAATCTATCAGATACAGTTAAAGAACAATTACACAAATAGAACTACGCCGCGAGATTTGTTATCTCAATGATCTCTTTCTCATTGTGCCGCATGGAATTCCATTTATCAAACATTGACTTCTGAATTATTTCAGCTGATTTTCTTGCATGGATTGGGTGACACGGGGTAAGTCTTCTCATTTAGAAAGAATAACTCAATAAGACACGGTTGGTCGGATGCTTTGAAAGAATATGTTCCTGATTACTTCAAGATTATATGTCCTCATGCGTAAGTTCAAAATGTTCGAGTTTTATATTTCATATAGGAATTCAATACCTGTTACACTCAATGGTGGAATGTGTATGCCATCATGGTTTGTTGTGGTCTGTTTTTGATTATTCAGTGATAAGGTATGATATATATGCTCTAAGTGAAAATGCTAAGCAAGACGAAGCAGGAATAAAAGAAGCATCGATTGAATGTACATTCTATCCATTTTACTCTTATTATATTTTGAATATAGTAGGTAAATTTGTTGATGCAGAAGTAAAAGCTGGAGTCCCCGTCGGAAATATTGTTGTCGGGGGTTTTTCGCAAGGTGGTTCAGTGGCCCTTTATAATGCATTAACGGGCACTTTACGGTATGGTGGGGTTGTCGCTTTCAGTTCTTGGCTTCCACTCCATACGAAATTTATGTCCTCTCCCACAGTATGTCTTTATCATAAATTATTATTGCTTAGCTTTTGACCATGCCCAAAGATGTCCCAGTTTTTCAGTGTCATGGATTAGAGGACTCTACAATTCCTTTTGCAATGGGAAAGCTGACCCATGAGCTTTTGAAAACTTTCCAGTTATCCAAATGTGAACTCAACTGTTACCCTCAGTTATCTCACTCGTCATGTGAAAAGGTAAATTGATAGTAGTGATTATATCAACCAAATCGCATTTCAGGAAATGGAAGATCTTCGGACATTCTTGTCAAAGAACGTACCTGGAACACAATAAGCATACGTGTGCCAGGTGTTGCTTAGTCGCCGTTGCCTAGGATCTAAAAAGAATAGTGTTTTTGAAGAATGATTCTTAATTCCGACTTCCCCTCCCTCACTTCCAATGTACTATTTCCTGGCACATGTTCGAAATATACTTTTTGACCTCACTATGTAGGTTTTGCATACTTTTCTTATTTACAGTTCGTTTAAAAATGTGGATTCTTCATCTGTCGATTGTCTTATGTATTTTAATGAAGAAAAAATACAACCTTTAGTGCTAAATTTGTTTTACGTAGTTTTGCTAGCTACTGTTGATTTTTGTCTACGATTTCCACCTGTTATGGTCCAAATGATGTGTTGTGCTATAAAACCATACTTTGCTATCTGGTTAGGCTATGCTATATTTGTTGATGATACATTTTTGAGCTGGTCATGCTTTAAGTATTGTGTGTTTGACACTGGTAGTTTCTATTTAAGCTTCTGTCACAACTACGTATGTGTGTGTCAAGAAGATTCTGCTTATTTTGTCCGCAAATCCAAACGATTTCCATAAAGTGAATGACAATAACCAGGTTTCTAGCCCTAAAACTGTCAACGGTGACTGAACTTTTACACCAAGAAGTTCTGAATAGCTTTTGTATATCTGTCTGGTGAGTTCCCGACATATGTCATGAGAATGGTTTTTGGAAATAACTCAGTTCACTTTAAACCATGAAGAAAATTTTCAACCGTTACAACAAAAACGCCGAGTTACCCACGTAGCTTATGAATTTCGATATCTTAAACTCCTTTAGGTTAGCTTTACAGTCTTGTAAATGAGTCAGTCAGTCAGATGCAACGTAGGACTTTGTACATAAGTACATCAGTTCATGTTGCCATACCACATCAGCACAGAGAAGTAATCGTCGATTCAAATCCAATAGTAGAAGAGGTAGTAAAGGTATTAGAAGTAATCGGAAAGGTTAGGATTAAAAGATATTCAAGTAATATGATTCGGTGAGAAAGGTTTAGAAAGTCGTAACTAGAGAGGTTGAAGAATCCAGAAGATTAGGATTTGAGAGAACACAGAGAATAAATGCACCGGTGCCATTGCGAACGATTTTGAGCCATGTCATTCAAGGTCTCTAACCATCGATTATTATCATCTCGCGGACCCCAACCACGTAGTCGACAATTGCCGACATGGCTAAGTCCACTCTTCAATGATTTCATGGATTTCTGCCATGTTTTGATCTGACCATAAATTTCTTCCAACCTAATCCTACACCACAAAACATAGCTCGTCGAGGCAGTCGGTGGTTCGGCATACGCAAGACATGTCCCAACCACCTCAACTGATGAAGTTTCGCCACTTCATCTATTGATCTGCCATTCTTATCTAGTACTCGTTTCCTAACGACAGCATTGCTCACTCGGTGGTCCCACGGTATACGAGCAATGCTTCGAAGATACCTATGATCGAAAACCAGTAACCTACGAATATCTTCTACTCTCACTGGCCATGTTTCACAGCCATATAGGAGAACGGAGCGAACTGCTGCACAGTACACTCGTCCTTTAGTCAGCAAACGGATATCTCGCCTACGCCATAAGTGACGCAGGTTGGCAAAAGCCAATCGAGCCTTCTGTATCCGAGCTGAGATTTCGTCAGTCACCAGGCCATCAGCACTGATGAGACTCCCAAGATAAGTGAAGCGGTCTACACGTTCGACTACTTCACTCCCTATCACTAGTTCAGGTGCCGATGCAACCCAGTCTTGAAGCAACATTTTGCATTTCGAGGGGGAAAACCGCATCCCGAACATGCTTGCATTGTTGCTTATGGTAGTCAGAAGACTCTGAATTTTGTCAGCATCTTCACCAAGTAGGACAATGTCATCGGCATATTCTAAGTCAATAAGCGAGCCACCTGGTAAAAGGTCTACTCCTGAAAATTCAGACGAGGATAAGGTTATGTCTAGGAGCATGTCTATTATAAAACTAAACAAGAATGGAGATAGTGGACATCCCTGACGGACACCACTTGATGTAGAGAATTCCGGTGACAGTTCGCCATATGCTCTCACCCGACCAGTGGTGTTCGAGTAGAGAGCATGTATAAGGTTAATGTACTTCTTTGGTACACCTTTCAATGACAGACACTGCCACAGAACCTTACGATCAACAGAGTAAAATGCCGCCTTAAGGTCTAGGAAAACAACTATTGTAGGACGCCTAAATGTGTGTCTGTGTTCCAGGACCTGTCGTAGTGTGAAGATGTGGTCTATACAACCACGTCCAGGTTTAAAACCGGCCTGGTTTTCTCTATTCTGCTCTCCACGAGCTTTCGTTAAGCGTCGAAGTATTATTGAGGCCAATATTTTAGATACTATATTAGTTAGACTGATTCCCCTGTGATTGTCACAAGAAGACTTTTGTCCTTTCTTATAGATTGGGACAATCAAGGATTGAGACCAGTCGGATGGGATTGTAAATGAATTTCCCATTTGAGTGAAAAGTATGCTTCCTATGCTTAGAATTGATAGACCTTGTTAGTATCAATAGTATTTTGATTTCTGAAGCTAAAAATGCTCATCTACCGATTTCGCAATAAAAGTCATGTATTTTTAAGTAAAAGTCCATGTATAGAAACAATTCTCTATGTGACCATTATGAACATTTACTTAGTTTCAGATCTCTGATTGTTTAGTGAACGGTTATAAGTTTTTATCATCGATAACTGAACAATAGGTTATGAGTGACTTGTATAATGTAGGATTGAATAATATAAACAGCCAAGTAGAAATAAATGAAGTTAGAAGTGATTATAATAGAAAAGTGTTTACGACCCCAAGTCAGTCAATCACAACGTAGAACTTCGTACGTAAGTACATCAGTTCAGGTGCCATACCACATAGGCATAAAGACGCAAGTGTCAGTTCAAATCCAATAGTGGTAGAGATAGTAGAAGAATTAGCGGTAATGGAGAATATTAGGGATCAAAGATATTATTCAAGAAGTATAGTTCAGTGAGATAACTTAAGTAAGAGAACGATAGAGATGATTGAATGAATGCACCTGCGCCATTGCAAACGATTTTGAACCATGTCATTCAGGGTATTTAACCATTGGTAGGTAGTCAACACTTGCCAAAATGACTCAGTCTACTTGTCAGTGACTTCATGGATTTGTGCCATGTTTGGCCGCCCATAGCTTCCTTTCAACCTACTGGTGACTTTAATGCTCAAGTAGGTAGACTAAGTAGGAGGGAAAGGCATCTAGGTGGATCTTGTGGGGTCGCGGCTCGAAGAACAGTCAGTGGCGACTTCTGTTGTAATTATGCTCAGATAACCGCCTATTTCTAGCAAACACTAAATTTAGGCATAAGGAAAAACATCTCTTGACAAGTCGTCACAACGCTGTACCCAATTAGATCACATCGTCATCAGCCACCGATGTAGGGGTTCGATAGAGGACTGTCGTTCGTTCTGCGGCACATGTTTAGATTCAGATTATGCCCTAATGCGAGCGCGCATTTGTTTGAGGCCTAATGGACGTAAGTAAGACAGTGCAAGGAAACCTCTCACAGTTCTACCTAATGATAGCATAGCTAAGAATATATTTCCCCGACAGAAGCTGCTACCTTGACGTGGTGGTCAGGCTTGCCTATTGTGATGACCCAACCGAGCTATATTGGCTGGAACTTATGTTCCTGAAGGTTCTACCGTGCCAGTCAGGTTGATTGGATAGCGATGAGACTAAAAGCAGCTACCCAAGGTCTGAGGTCGAAGTCGTGCTGCTGACTGCAGAGGGGTGTAACAGCAGTAAGGTGTTTCCCTCGGATAACCAGCATCTGCAGTGATGCTGCCTTCACACAAGGAAAGAAGGGTTAGAAAATTTCGACCCTAAAAATGTCACACCTCACGGATTTCCGTCTCCAGGGGTTAAGGGTGCCCACTAAGGGCCTTTAAGAGCGGAGCTGATCCTCAAAAAACCATTCATAAAAAGGCCGTGCGTGACCGACCTCAAGCAGTTGTTCCTTGGGCTCTGCGGTCACGCACCCAGGTCTCCAAGACCAACACTAATCTATCTTCCTTTTCAGGTCCCTCAAGAAACACCCACGGTGTGGGCAGCCGGGAAGTGACAACCGCCCTCATACCCGTAACAGCACACGAGACCAAATTAGTCGAAATCAAATCCTTCCTACACCCCCTAATACCTCTCTTATCTCCACGACTAACTATTTTCACATTCATTTATCACAGTGCACAGCTAATGAAAACGATGCGAGTTCGCGAAACGTCGTTCCTGGTCTCCTTAAACCCCGTTCTAAACTACATGTTGGAGCATTTAATGTACGGACATTGTGTCAAGTAGGGCAATAGGCATCATTAGCTAGGACTTTAGAATCTCGCTCAATTGATGTATGCTGCGTCTCCGAAACGCGCATACAGGATCCGAGTAGCGTCATTCACTTGGCCTCACCATGTCAAGATAAAGAAGCAGCTCGATTTACCCTTCGTGTATCTGGTAGTCCTGATGCTGCTTCCTGGGATCTCGCTAGTGTAGGTATAGCATTGGATCGTAGAGCAGAACTATCTCTCATTGACTGGATCCCAGTAGATAGTCGCTTGTGCGCCGTTCGACTAAACGGGACAGTAAGGATTCGGAAGGATAGGGACACTCGTCGTTGCCTCTTCGTCATATCAGCCTACGCCCCCACTGACTGCAGTTCAGACGAGGTGAAAGATAAGTTTTACAGAAAGCTTTCGGACCTCCTCCAAAAAGCTAGGCGCTCTGATGTAGTAATAATGGCTGGTGACTTCAATGCTCAAGTAGGTAGACTAAGTGAAAATGAAAGACACCTGGGTGGATGCTATGGTGTCGTGGCTCAAAGAACAGACAATCTGTTGCAACTGTACTCAGATAAACAACTATTTCTAGCAAACACTAACTGTAGGCATAAGGAAAAGCATCTCTTGACCTGGCGACCCCCGAAGTCGTCTCAACGTTGGACGCAACTAGATCATATCACCATCAGCCACCGATAGAGGACTGCCGCTCGTTCTGGGGCACATGTTTAGATTCAGATCATGCCCTAGTGCGAGCTCGTATCTGTTTGAGGCTTACTGGACGTTGGAAAGACACCGTAAGGAAGCCTCCTAGGGCTTTACTTGATGATAATCAAACTAAGAAAATATTTCAGGAGCAACTAGAAAGAGAGTAAGGCAATCATCTATGCGATTCTCATCCAGAAGCAGGTTGGTGTGATATAAAAAAGGCTGTGGAAACAGCAGTGA